ATTCTCACTGAGGGTTATTAGCACCTTCTGGAGAGACAATCACATAGGAAATCCTTGACCCAGGAACAGCTGAGGGCTGGGAGAGCTTCAGGGAGACATCTGACAGAAGCCAGCCCTGTGCTGAAGCACTTTTGTGTGCATTCACCTCGCAGGCACTGTCAGGAGGGAGGACACTGCAGGGCAGGGACCACATCTGGCCTGGCACAGATGTTCTGGGCAGCAGTTCCCTCCCTGCAGTGCCCTGCTGCCTGTGGTAAACACAGGAATAAAATACTTACCTGCCTCCCAGGGCTTTGTGAGGCTTATCCCGTGTCTGTACAATGCTACACGAGTTCCAGCCACTCTGGGAAGCTCCCTGATTAGAAGACTCCTCTCAGATTATGGACTCCTGTATGTCATGTTTGGTGGTTGCTCTGAAACCAGTTCTCAGACCTCTGCTGTATTTTATCCCCACTTTCTGCTGCTTCCAGAGGAATGGAGAGGGAGCCTCAGCACACACCCAAAACAATCCCAGCAGAAATGGGAACACTCAGATGGCTGGTGGGTTTTTCAGCATCTGGCTTCTTGGGGCAGAGCTTTTTGTCCCCAAGTGGCAGAGCCAATGCATCCACCTGCTGTCACAGACATCTTTTCATGAAAAATCCTTTCCTTAGGATTTCTCTTCCTGAGAAGCTGTGAGGCCTCAGGAACAAAATGTAAACAATGCTTATCTGCTGCTGTGGAATGCAACAGGTGCATCTGTGATTGGTCTCATGGGGTTGTTTCTAATTAACAGCCAATCACAGCCCAGCAGGCTCAGACTCTGTCCGAGACAGAAGCTTTGTTATCATTCTTTCCTTTCTATTCTTACTTAGCCTTCTGATGAAACTTTTTATTCTATTCTTTTAGTATAGTTTTAATGTAATATATAGAAAATAAGAAATCAAGCCTTCTGAAACATGGAGTGAGATCCTCATCTCTTCCCTCATCCTAAGACCCCTGTGAACATGGTCGCAACCCCCAGGCCTAGTCATGGATCCAGATCCAAGCCAGCAGAGCCAGCACAGCCCCAGTGCCATGTGGACACCACTCTCTGCCCTGCATGTGCAGGACCTCATTGTCCAAAGGGAGGTGATAGAGGATGGGCAGGCTCTGCTCCGTGGTGCCCAGCAGTGGGACAAGAGAAATGGGCAGAAGCCAATGCCCAGGAAGCTCCACCTGAACATGAGGAAGAACTTTCCTCAGCAGTGATTGAGCACTGGGCAGATTGTCCAGAGAGGGTGTGGAGTGTCCTTCACTGGAGATATTCCAGAACCATCTGGACACAATCCTGTGCTGTGTGCTGTGGGATCCTACTGGAGCAGGGGGTTGGACCTGGTGACCCACTGTGGTCCTTTCCAGCCTGACCATTCTGTGATTCTGTGATTGTGTGACCTCGCTGAAATGCAGGTCTTTGGTGTGAAGAATAATGAATGGAGAAAGTAACTCAGTGACAACATCTCTTCCTCTCCATTCCTGGACTATAATGGCTCACAAATCAGTGGGTAGGAGTCCCAGGGCCAGAACTGCCTCGTCCTCATGAAGATGGGATGCACAAGGCGATATTGGATGATGCTTCTACTCCCCATTTCCTCAGAGAAAGCCTCCGGGAGCTCTTTAGGAAGCTGTCGCTGCCTGGAGCGTGGGGACAATTCTGGCTGCCCTCCTCATTCTATCCCAGCGAGCGACCTTCGGTGCCCCATTCCTCGGGACAAGCGTCTGCCGCGCATTTGGGCAGAGCGACA